AAGCCTAGTAATTGAGAGTTGTTCCGAGATCTTACTCTGATAATATAACATTGGGTTAGAACTTATGTAAACAGGCGATTTGTGCCTTATTTTTTTTTTTTTTTTGAAATTTTAACCATGTTTTAATTAAAGAGTTTTTATTATGATGGATTTGTGAACCTTTTTACTAACTGAACTAAGTCTAATGATTATTTTTATATTTTAAATTATTTTTCCTTCAAAAAGAAAAATCTTTATTTATTATGTTTTAGGGTAGAAGGGTGCTACAAAAGATGTTATAAGTTTTTCTCATTGATTGTCCATTGGACGAATGTTACAGCAAAACTTAGAGAAATTTATCATAATTTGGGCACAATTAAGAGTAAGCGTGAATAGACAATATTCACAAAGTTCTATTCTTCTTTTCAAGTCTTCTTGTATTTATAGGTTTCATTCATTGAGTGAGAGCCTTGTAATTAGGTCGTAGTAGCTTGATCTTCAATCACTAAATTATAATTGTTCTTTACATTTAAAATTTGTGAAAAATGTTGATTGATTCAAGATAAGGGTGAATTATAGTAATTTGTCCTAATCAAGGACAAGGATAATATTTTCAAATCTTCATAAATGCCTTGGCATGATAGGAGAATAAGGCAAAGAAGGCTTAGTTTGAAGACATTGCTTTAGGCATTGACTATTCTTTTTGTAGTTTTCTTTCCTTTTTTAAACGTTACGTTGGTTCTATTCCATTATACCATTTTGTGCACATAGACAAAAGAGGTAATAAAGCATAATAACATTTTCAACAAGCACAACTTATCAAAGTGCTTATCAATTACTTGTTTTGAATGTTTATAAGTTTATTCTAAGGTGTGTAGAAGTTCAAGAAGTGTTGGACTAGTGAACAATTAAGGACATGACATTGGACGTAGACGCTGACTAGTCTAATTAGATAAGTGTTGTACTTGCTTATTTTTACCTATTTGTAAAAGATGATTATTTATGAAAACATTTATGTTTTTCCTTTCTCCTACTTGTTGGATGCATGATTCTTGAAATAACATAGTCAAATATTAGTCCATCAAGGTCATTACTTTGTTTTCATCAAAATTGGAGTGTTAAATGTATATATTCATCTTTAATTCAATATGTACCAATTCACCTCCATGTGGACTGACCTAATGAGAAGAAGTTTCTACCTTTTATAAAAGGAAAAGGAATATATATATATATAAGGACTAAAGGAAGAAAGAGACAATAAATAAGAAAAAAAACTTATATTGTAATCAAATACCATTCATGAATCAAAGAACATATATTTATTATTATTAAATAATAAAACTTAAATATATTATCAATGTTAAACTATATTATTGATAAACTAATATCAATAATATTATTAAATTTTAATAGTAAATTATTAATTTAATATATATGAATTAGGGGGGTGTATTGGATTAGGATTTTAAAAGACTTTTTTAGTTGAAAAAAGTCCTGTGAATTTTAAAAGACTTTGCAAGATTTTCATGACTTTTAAGATTTTGTAGGATTCTACAAGACTTTCAATCAGGATTTTAATGGATTATGCGAGACTTTTAAGTTAGGATTTTAATGGATTCTGCGGGACTTTGTAGAATTTCATAAATTTTTGAAATAGGATAAGAATTCAAGATTTTTTTTTTCACACATTCAAATTTAAAAAAGAGTCAAATATAAAAAATAAAAAAAATGATGTCTGGATAAATAAAAATAATATTTTTTCCTATATCATGTCATTCTAAATAGAATTCACCCACATATTCATAGTTATACTAGTTCTCCAAACATTAGTATTTTTTCGTTCTTGTTCCTGTATTTTAATAATAGGCTCAAAATTATAATTTTTATTAACTAGTAATGTTGAAGATGAAGGTTCGTCCATCACTTCAATTGGAAATTCATCATAATGACATTCTTTACGAAGAAAGTTATGTAGTCCCACATATGCTAAAAAATATTCTAAACAACATTTCAAATTTTTTATAATTTGTGATTTAAAATATTTTATTTATAATTTTATAAATGATTAAAAAAAATAGTGGGACAAAATAATTTTTTATGAAATTTGTTACAGGTACAAAATAATTTTTTAATT